GGTGGTGTCTTAACCGTATCAAAGTCAAGTTCCTGGCTGTGGTGTTGTTCTACAGATTTACAAGATGTTGCCATAGGAGGAAACTGGGTAAAGGGTACCTGGTATCTCTTTATTATTTCTTACAATGGTATTTGAATCTATAATTCTCTCAAAAATAAAAAGTTTAATTTAAAAAGAAATCTTTTAAAGATCTAGGGTCTTGCTATCTTGCTGCTCCCTCATCCCAGGATGCCCTTCTGCCCTCAAAGCCTCTTATGATTCAACATGACATCTAGAGTGCCTGGCAGCATGGCCAGGTTATAGTCCAGTGGCAGAGGAACACTGGAAGAGCAAATGAGCATAGCCCCTAACAGAGTCGGTCCCTTTCAAGCACCCTTCCCAGAAGTCCCACACAACAGCTGCATTTCTTAGCTGTGGACCATCTGGCTGCAAGGGAAACTGGGAAATGCAGCTTTAAGCAGGGTGCACAGCAGCCCTGTGTAAAATTGGGGCTGCATCCTAAGAAGGGAGGGAGTGGACCTGGGTGGCAACTGGTAGTCCCTGCCACATACACTGGTCTGCTGCTGGCTGCACCCAGCGGTGTCTGCTCAGACATCTGTAGCTGCCCCTGGACATGCCATCAAATCATGGTCAGAGAAGCTCCCTCCCCACTCGCTGTCTGGCTGTTCTGCATGCCCTGTGAGAGGAGAGGGAGGAATCTTCCATCGTCCTCTTGCCAGTTGGAAACCTCGGTAGAATTTCTTTAAAAGAAGCAAAAGAGGAACGACAGTCACTGGGGGCCTTGCGTGTGTTGACACCAGGTGGCCACAACCACTGCTGTACCTGCCATGCCTAGCAGTGCTCTCTGTGCCTCTCGGCCAGTGCCTGCCATGACACGAGACCAGCGGTGACCCCAAGAGGCAGCCACGGTTGGAAGATGCCACCCACTCGTTTTCAATGGCATCCTTGGGCCCAACCACCAGCCTAGCACTGCTCAGGCATCAAGGGGGCTAAGGGAGTCCCTGCGCTGGGACTGTTTCTTTTCTTTCTTTTTTTTTTTATTGAATCATAATTGATTATACATATTTTGGGGATTCAATGTTGACATATGTTGATCAAATCAATACTACCAGTATGTATATTGTTACAAATTGTACTTATTCTTTATGCCCCTTGTCCAATCTCTCCCTCCCCCCTCTCTCCCTCCTACCACTGATAACCCTAGATCTCTTCTCTCCCTCTGAAGGAGTAATGGCTGCTCTGTTGATTTGTTGCCTAGATGATCTGTCTGATGCTGAGAGGTGTGTTCAGGTCCCCCAGTATTTTCATGCAGCAGCTGCTTCTTCTGTCACTCTGGAATGGGCTTTGTGGAGAGAGACATCCTCTTCTTTTCTTTGGTCTCTGTGGGTGACTCTCCTTGTTTTAATGCACTCCAGTGGCTGGGGGACCCTCTGCATGGCGATTGTGACATCTAGCCACTTTCATGGTGGCTGTGGTGGGTCACCCAAATGGATGTGATGATTTTGGCACACTCCTTGGCACTAGTGGTGTGCCTGGATGTGGAAGTGGGGTCTGGTCCCTGGCTTCAAGCCTTAGGGTCCCAGGCAGTACCCAAGGTGCTGGCAGTGTGCCTGGTTGAGGGNAGCAAGGGAAATTCAATGGTATATGAAAGCGACAACCCCTAATCCTTTCCTGCTTTAGCCCAGATTTCCTGCTTCTTTGAAACAACCTTCACAAGTCTTTATTTTCCCCCAACGTAATCACGATTCTTCAGACTCCTTTCCTGAACCTCTGCTGTCTCAGTTAAGCATTAGGTTTAGCTGCATGACATTTATTAAAAATAATATGGCTACATTAATGTAGATATTTATGTCTCTTAATCAATCAATCAAAGTTCCTTCCACAGCTAAGTGGTCCAGGGCTGGGCTGAGATTCTGTCTTCATCAAGATCCAGGCTCTAAAAAATCAGCGGTCTCTGGAGGTCAAGAGGGTGCAGGGGCAGGAGGCAGATGCGTGTGATGACGGAAGTGCAACGTGAGGGACGCTGCGGTGGTGTCTTAACCGTATCAAAGTCAAGTTCCTGGCTGTGGTGTTGTTCTACAGATTTACGAGATGTTACCATAGGAGGAAACTGGGTAAAGGGTACCTGGTATCTCTTTATTATTTCTTACAACGGTATGTGAATCTATAATTCTCTCAAAATAAAAAGTTTAATTTAAAAAGAAATCTTTTTAAGATCTAGGGTCTTGCTATCTTGCTGCTCCCTCATCCCAGGACGCCCTTCTGCCCTCAAAGCCTCTTATGATTCAACATGACGTCTAGAGTGCCTGGTAGCATGGCCAGCTTATAGTCCAGTGGCAGAGGGACACTGGAAGAGCAAATGAGCATAGCCCCTAAGAGAGTCGGTCCCTTTCAAGCACCCTTCCCAAAAGTCCCACACAACAGCTGCATTTCTTAGCTGTGGACCATCTCGCTGCAAGGGAAACTGGGAAATGCAGCTTTAAGCAGGGTGCACAGCAGCCCTACGTAAAATTGGGGCTGCATCCTAAGAAGGGAGGGAGTGGACCTGGGTGGCAACTGGTAGTCCCTGCCACATACACTGGTCTGCTGCCGGCTGCACCCAGCGGTGTCTGCTCAGACATCTGTAGCTGCCCCTGGACATGCCATCAAATCATGGTCAGAGAAGCTCCCTCCCCACTCGCTGTCTGGCTGTTCCGCATGCCCTGTGAGACGAGAGGGAGGAATCTTTTATCGTCCTACTGCCAGTTGGAAACCTCGGTAGTTTCTTCAAAAGAATCAAAAAAGGAACGACAGTCACTGGGGGCCTTGCGCATGCTAACACCAGGTGGCCACAACCACTGCTGTACCTGCCATGCCTAGCAGTGCTCTCTGTGCCTCTCGGCCAGTGCCTGCCATGACATGAGACCAGCGGTGACCCCAAGAGGCAGCCACGGTTGGAAGATGCCACCCACTCGTTTTCAATGGCATCCTTGGGCCCAGCCACCAGCCTAGCACTGCTCAGGCATCAAGGGGGCTAAGGGAGTCCCTGCACTGGGGCTGTTTCTTTTCTTTCTTTTTTGTTATTGAATCATAATCGATTATACATATTTTGGGGATTCAATGTTGACATATGTTGATCAAATCAATACTACCAGTATGTATATTGTTATAAATTGTACTTATTCTTTATGTCCCTTGTCCAATCTCTCCCTCCCCCCTCTCTCCCTCCTACCGCTGATAACCCTAGATCTCTTCTCTCCCTCTGAAGGAGTAATGGTCTCCTTCTGAAAGAGTAATGGTTACTCTGTTGATTTGTTGCCTAGATGATCTGTCTGATGCTGAGAGGTGTGTTCAGGTCCCCCAATATTTTCATACAGCAGCTGCTTCTTCTGTCACTCTGGAATGGGCTTTGTGGAGAGACATCCTCTTCTTTTCTTTGGTCTCTGTGGGTGACTCTCCTTGTTTTAATGCACTCCAGTGGCTGGGGGACCCTCTGCATGGCGATTGTGACATCTAGCCACTTTCATGGTGGCTGTGGTGGGTCACCCAAATGGATGTGATGTTTTTGGCACACTCCTTGGCACTAGTGGTGTGCCTGGATGTGGAAGTGGGGTCTGGTCCCCGGCTTCAAGCCTTAGGGTCCCAGGCAGTACCCAAGGTGCTGGCAGTGTGCCTGGTTGAGGGTGGGTGTCCGGTCCCCATTTCGATGCTCTGCTCCCCTGAGGTGCTGGCAGTGTGCCTGGGCGTGGGTGGGGGGTTGTGGTCCCCAGCTTGATGCTCCAAGCCCCCAGGTGGGTCCCTGAGGTGCTGGCAGTGTGCCTTGGTATGGGAGTGGGACCTGGTCCTCGGCTTCAAGCCTCAGGCTCCCAGGCTGGCCTTGAGGCACTGGCAGTGTGCATGGTTGTGTGTGGGGGGGTCTGGTCCTCAGCTCCATGCCTCAGGTCCCCTGCTGGGCCCCGAGGCACTGATGGTGTACCTGAACCAGAACTA